AAAAAAAAAAAAAAAAAAAAAAAAAAAAAAACAAGAACAAGAAGACACTTAGTGGCTATTTTACGAGACAGTGAGGAAGGTTGAGAGTTTTTTTTAGTCCCTTGTTTTTTAGTCCCTTTTTTAATCCCTAAACAGTTTATTCCCTTGCAGTAGGCACCTTCTACAAATTCAAGTTTTTTAATCGAAAATAAGCGATGCTTACAGACGCATTATTGAAACCACCCTTCTGCAGCAGGTTTATTTCACGATAGTAAAACAAAGAAAAAAAACCGATCTCCATCGAAAGATTTGCTGGATCAAAGGTCTAAGTCTGTCTTATTTGAAGGTACATTTTACACACTAATAATTAATTGAGAACAGCATTCTGTCATATCTCTTAATCATCCTCTGCAAATATTCATTCGGTTAAATAAGCTCTATTAAAACCCATAAATATTAAGCATATTATCATCATTTAAAAAAGTGTTTTGTGATGCAAAACATCAATACAATCATCTTCTTTTGAGAAGCCTTAATATTGATTCATTATATAAACTAATACTTCAAACAAATTATACTGCTTTCACAATTATAATCGACCCCTACAGAAACTTCCTGGTACAACCTAATCTTTTGCCATTTTTAGATGGCAAAACAGTGATAAATATATAAGATGAATAATTTGGGTAATTGGTTAATTCTGAAAACAATTCTGATATTTCGCAGTAAGTTGAAGAAAGAAGTAAATCTACATTTGAGGTATGTAGTTTACGAAGAAACTTGCTACTGGCTATTAAAAAGTGAAAACAAATATTCAATATTCCTACACTATTTGATTTCCATATTAAAACTGCCCTACCGAGGTACTTTCAGAGCCTTCATATTTATTACGGATTTCCATACGTATTCATTCCAGTTAAACAACAAAATTTCTCTTTCCTACACTGTAGAAACCATATTACACAAATTCAGAAAAAAATGAAATAAAATAAAATACAAGAAGAAAAAAATTTTTAGTGTTCTTGTGTTACCAAAGTTTTACGATTATTTCTCGTTTTTACCATCTCTTCTGCCTATTTCCCTCCTGCCAAAAACTTGCAGATCCTTGTCTTTTAATTACCCTTCTTTCTCTATCCCAGTCCTCACCTTTCCCATCCTGGCGAACTGAAAGACTTTATTCCTTGTTATGCAGTGCAGCCTTTCCCAACCCCGCTCCTCCGCGTAATCGTCAACAACATCATAATCAAAACCGTCATCAACTGCATTACCGTCGAAAACAGTAATGACAATAACGTATAATATACTACCAGTGGTTTTCCATCTATCCGAATGTACCTCAGTCATAATGTAGTTTGCCAATTCTTTTCCTCTTATTTTTGCCAACTAATTCATCCAGTATCCAAAATGAGTTGCCACTTAATAAGCACGAACAATATTTAAAAAAATTTTTTTTTTCAAGTAAAACCCTTCTTCCGGTTATAACCAAAAACAGAATTAAAACTGACAAAAATAATTTTTTCTTCTTACTCTCTTCGCCTCTTCTTTTCTCTTTTCTGAATGTCACCTGTTGCAGCAATTTTCCCTTCATACAAAAAAAAACAATCATAGAACACAAATAGTTCAAAAGGTAAAAACCAAATAATGTATTTTTTAGTTATTTGATAAACTGCAATAGCGAAAACAACAACAGCAGCGATAATTATCAGAATAACTGATACAAAATTAACGACAAATATAACACCAGAGATCGCACCAACAGCGAAAACAGCAGAAATAACAACGATAGCAACTGCAAAGAGAAACCGTCAAATAAAACTGATGTTTTAAGAATATTGGGAAAATTCAGTACCCGACAATTCCCTTTTCTTCTCTTTTCAAAAACAATAATACGTTCGTTCTTTGTTCTTCTTCATTTCACTCTTCTTCTTTGCTTTTTTCTTTCAGCCTTTTTTTCCTACATACATATTATGTACCACATTTCCATCTATCCGTCTTT